TTCCTTCAAGGAATGCTAGGCCTTGAATGGATTCAGTTTTTGTGTCTCTGACATCCAGTAAAACTAATTCTGTCCATTTCAATCATTTAGTTCATATTTCAGTTTGAACCTGCATCCTATTGACTTCAGCTCACATATTTTATTCTTTATTCAGATTGATGGGCTGCAAGTTGTCAGAGATCAGCTGTTCTTATCTGATCTCAGCTCTGAAGTCCAACCCCTCCTACCTGACTAAACTGGACCTGCGTATGAATATTATTCAGGCTCCACATGTTCAGCAGCTGTTGGATCTTGTGGAGTGTCTTGACTGCAAACTACAGTCTCTGAGGTCAGTAGATGTCCTTTGAAAGTTTTCATTAAAAATATTTCTGATGATGTAGGAACAAAATCAACCACCAGGTGTCCTTCAACACAACATCATGGTGTCCTCACTCTACAGTGAACATCATGATGGGACTCTTTTCTATCAGGCTGAAATTTATACCAGTATTATTGTGGACAATATGATCTGACACAGCCCTGGTCCAGACTGCTGAAGTCCACTCATCACATCTGTCCTTTGTTTCATCCAGATGTGTTCAGTGACAGCCTCCATGTTTGTTAGTCAGCTGATGTTTCAGAAACAGATGTGATGTTCATCACCACACAGAGTTTGTGTGTTAAAATGGAGCAGCAGTTGACGTAACAGCAGGAAATCCATCCCTCCAGTGTTTGTGCAGTGATGAAGCTTCATGACTCTCAGTACTTTGGATCATCTGTGGACTTGAGTGTAGCGGGAATGGTTAATAATGATTAAAAATTCGTTATGAATTTTATTTTGAAGCCGCGTCACTCTCAGCTCTGAGAGAAAATCTGAAGGTCTGAAAATCAATTCAGATGTTATTGTTTAATTACCTCCAATTACCCTTTTTACACTGTTAGTTTTTTTTTAATTAAGGATTCAGATGTCATAAATAACACACGCTCAATACAATTTTCTGACATTTATTTGACTATATATGAGAAAATAACTGTTGGAAATTATTGCGTACATTTAAATGAAGGCGTTTAACAGCCGGAGTTTTTATGAAAATTAACGTGACCTTTAAAATGCTTGTTAGCAGGAATTAACCGGTAAAATCCGTTCAGCTTCTGGACCGCAAGGAATGTAATCCTCTGTTTTACTATTTCCTGAACCCATTTTCTTACGTTTTATTGCTCAGTCTCTTTCTATTGAGACTTACCTCGATTTGGTTTCACAAATCTAACTCCGTTTTAAATTATTAAAACCTACTTTGTCACTATTTTATTTCTCAGTCCTTTTAGAGGGACCTACCTCGATACGTTTACACAAATCTACCTCGGTTTTATTTTTAAAACCTACTTTGTTATATATTAAAAAGTTTTTCAGTTTACCTTAAGTAGTTGTTTTGTTGTCTCAGTCTGGTTCAGATTCTGTCGAGGTCGAATCCTCCCGATGGAAGACCAGAACGTTCCCTCGCTCTCAAAGACCTAGTAGAGGTTTCGAGGAAGAATCCTGCGATTCCTGGTGATCAGCCACCGTCCTGGGTCCACTGAGTGGACGGACCAGCGAAGAAGCCTGTTTGTGATGCCAAATTGTGGAGTTTTATCAAAATTTGTTGTTCAATAAAATTTAGCAGACTAAGAACTTTGTTAAAAAACATGTAGCAAGGTTTATTTCTCTTCTGCAGAAGGGAGAACACATGAAACGAAAACGCAGCCCAAGAGTTCTTGTCTGTTCTCCAAAATCATGAGCAATACAGTCTCATTTATACACCTTCACACGTAACAGATCTTCCTTTGACACAACAGGCGTCAACCTAATCTTATCAGGGTCAAAACAGACAGTACGTTTGTGGTCAGTGACAATCTGGAGTTGGGGTTCCGTACCGGCAGTCTGTGAGAAACAAAAGTCGAAAAGCTTCACACACTGATGTTGGAGAGGTACAGCTGCTACAGTTTTAGATAAGTTTTAACAGAGTGTGATATAAAGTAAATGACTAATAAGAGTGATGATAAAATTGATGAACAAAATAAACTGGTATCAATGTTTTCATTTGCACAAAGTACCGATCCTTTCTGAGACTCAGAGCTAAGCTGCAGGCAAACACTTTAATTATCATTTTAAAGTAAACTGTAAATGGCGTAAACATATCAAACTTTTATATTAACAACCCAGAAAATATCAACAGTGTGATTACCCAAACCAAGAACGAGATGAAATGTTGAACTTTGGTATTTTCAACAGGCAGATTAATTATGCAAATTTAGCTAAAAGAAAGACGCTTTATCGTCCAATAGTAAAAATTTGGTCTGAAGATGGTTTATCAAACTTTGCTAAACTCCAATCTTCTTCGTAGAAGTTTCTGTAGTATAAGTAGGTTGTTTTGAGTCCTAAAAGCTTACTCCTTCTCCTCTTCTGGAGGTCTTCATCACTTCTTCCTCCTGTCTTCTCTCATTCAACTGAGGATCTTCCTCTATTGCAAACAATCGACCACACCTCTAATTTGACAGGGGTGGCCAATTTGAACCAATCAGAATGGAAGGGCTGAACTTTATAGACTAAATAAAGTATTATTTTAATCTGCTCTGTTGAAAAAGTCATCAAATAAAAATATTTAAGACATTTATCAACTTTAAATTAGGTTAAAAACCCAATGAAGACACTTTGTTAGCTTTGTGAACAGAAAACAAGATTGCAAACTTCTTGTACAGGTTCTTGTCAGCTGCAGGAGAACAACAAGGCGAGTTATTTAGTTATTCCCAGTAAACAATAATTTCATTACAGAAAAACATTATTACTTCTTCCAGAATGTGAATAAAAGTCTCAGTTTTCTGCATGGAGAACCCAAGTGTCAGGCTGGAATTCCTTTGAACAGAGGCAAGGCTTTTCTGTTAGCATTCTGTGATTTATGATCGTTGAGATTAATCTGGTTGGAGGTTGGTACAAGGTGATACCAGAACATCCTTGGTGATCTGTGTCAACTCAAATGTCCATTTTTGGGTTCGCAGAAAGGGCTTTCCGATATTATTCAGATTTAATGGATCTTTGGTTGTCTTGCAAACCATAAAAGTCTCTTTTGGACACTTTCCAGAGTTAGCTCCTCTCTCACTCTCTCTTCTCTCTGCAGGTTGAGCTGAAGATCTTAGTGGAGGAAAGAAGAGCTGAGTTCTGATGATCCACAGAGGTTGAAGCAGCAGCAGTTGTTTGATAAGGAACTGATTGGATCCTGATGATGATGAACTTTGATCTTTTTATATTTATATTATCTATGATAGGTTGATGACTGCTTCTGTGTTGTGTTTACTTTGAACCAGTCAAGCTAAAGTCAAGGTTAAAGAAATCATTCAGATTATCTGTAAGTGAAGCTAGAATCACTACTTTTACAGAAAGATCTTTCTATTTTCTTTTCTTCTTTTAAAATAAATTCATTAAAATTTGATCAAGTTCTGTCTCCGTTTCTTTGATCCAAAACAATCTGAGGTGAACTTTGAATTTTCTTAAGATGATTTCAGTTTTAATCTGGCATGAAAGGTGGCGGGTGTTATGCATTCCTCAAACTGGGGGACGTGCTCTCCACCCCACCCCCCGTGTGTGTGTGGGGGGGGTCTTTCATCTCCTCTTTGTTCTCTTCTCTCCTGTAATGTTTGTTCTCAGTAGAAGCGGACCGTCTGTCTTTGCTCCTGCAGAAACAGAATCTTTATGTTTTGGTTTGAAACAGAACCAGTTCAGTAAAATCCACTAATCCTCTTCAAAACAAGCTTAAATTAAAGCGTTCCTTATAGAAATGCATATCACCCGCCTCCTTTCAAACCCCAGTTTCACACTAACATCACCCTCAGATTATAAGTAAGGAGTACTTTCAAGAGGATTAATCCGCACAAAGCAACTGGCCCAGACAACATCCCCGGAAAAGTGTTGAAGGAATGTGCTGATCAGCTCTGCGAGGTGCTGGCAGACATCTTTAACACCTCACTTACCCTGGAGACAGTTCCCACCTGCCTGAAGACCGCCACCATCATCCCAGTCCCAAAAAGCTCTACAGTGACTGGTCTGAATGACTATCGGCCAGTGGCCCTCACCCTGATAGTCGCTAAATGCTTCGAAAAACTGGTCATGACTCATATCAAAACAACCATCAATATCAACGAGGACCCTCATCAGTATGCATACCGTGAGAACCGATCAACAGAGGATGCCATCTCCTCTGTGGTCCACACTGCGCTCAACCACCTGGAGCAGAAAAACTTACGTCCGTATGTTCTTTGTGGACTTCACATCTGCCTTCAACACCATGAATCCCCCAAACCCTGATGGACAAACTATCCACACTAGGACTAAGCCCCTCCATTTGCAACTGGGTGCTAGACTTCTTAACAAACAGACCACAGTTAGTGAGGATCCACAACTTCTCCTCCTCCACCATAACCCTCAGCACTGGCTCTCCTCAGGGATGTGTGTTAAGCCCCCTCCTGTTTGCACTGCTCATGTATGATTGTGCAGCTACCCATCCAGGCTGTCACATTGTAAAGTTTGCAGATGACACCAAGTAGGTATCTCTGCAGGCAAATTCGGAAGGCATATCTGGGCGATCATATCTGATTGGACTATAGGAAAGTAGGCGTATCTGGGTTGTCACATCTGATTGGACTATATGAAAATGGGCGTGTCTGGCCGGCCGCATCTGATTGAACGATAGAAAAATGGGCGTGTCTGGCCGGCCACATTTGATTGGATGGAAAAATGGGCGTGTCTGGCCGGCCACATCTGATTGGACGATAGAAAAAAAGGCTGAACGATAAAATGCCGTAACCACAGACACATTATGTCTAAAAACAAGGCGTTATTGGCAGATTGTGTTAACCACAGGCATATTATGTCTATGGTGTTAACCGGTTCGACATTAGCGGCGTCTCAGGTTCAACACTGGCGGCGTCTCAGGTTCGACATTGCTCCAGTATACTGCCGCGGCGTCTCCATAACTTCTTTTTTCGACTCTCTTAACACAGAACTTCCGGTTACATTTCAAAATAAGAGCAACATACCTGTGTAGTGGGGAGAGCTAAATGTTAGGTTTTTTTTTATACCTAGTCGTAACATTTAAAAACAAATTCCATTTTGTTTGTTGAAAAACGTGAAAAAAGTTACAATCGATTCATAAAGAAAGAAAAATATTAATGATACTTAAACTGGCCTTGGGACAAAGGATGTTTCCTTTAACTTCACATTGTCTTGTTCAACCTGCGGTCACTGCAGATGAGTGATTATCAGTTTCTGTAAGATTTCTGCAACTGGAGCAGGTATTTCTGTTTACTGGTTAACTTCCTCAGCTGTCTCACATTTTAAAGGTCAACCCTACT